TTCCGATAGAGTGGAAATTATCTGGGAATGAGCGACGAGTTATTGGCGATATTCATACTTTTATTAAACAGCTCTCTGAATTCTACCCCAGCCGTTATTTTCTCTTACTCTCTGAGGATTCGTTCGTTTCTCTCTTTGCCGTTCATATTCTTTGCTTCCTTTTATTCTTACTGGACCAAAGACCCCTCTCTTTACTAAATTACACGCTATTCAATACAGATATGTATTACAACAATCTAAGAGTATTTTTATGTCACGTATAAATGTAGAATCAGTAGGGTATATTGGAGAAATTTTAATCGCGCAGTTAGTATGATCTTATCTCCTCTTATCACGATTTATTTTAATGAATCTGCTGTGAATTCTGTCTTTGACACATTGATAATGATATTCCATGGGTATTGAATAGCGTAGTAACATTGTTAACTTCGTAATGAAACGAACGAGGGGTTAGGAGTATCGTAACTACAGAGAGCAAGATCTCAGCCATTGTTACTGGGAGATGATAATAGGTTGACATCTGCACTCAGCATCCCCTTCGCCGTCTCCCTCCTGATCACCCTTTCCAATATGGAGCTCCTCGCTGGAAACGCAATTAATATTCGCAATTATGTCGCCCCGTAGAAACCGCATTTAACGAGACAATATTTTTTACCTCTCCTATTTTTTTTTTCAGTGGATACAAAATGCTCGTCCGCACGATTCACGGGTAAACCTAAAGAACTCCCCCACCGGAAGTCTTTAGGACGGAAATCAGCCGATTCCGAGATGGAAGAGTATCGTAAAATCGATCCTCTCGAAGTCCAAACCTTCACCGGGAGTCTCAAGTGTCCATAGGGAATAGTAAAAATTCAGGTTTGAATTTTGTCTAAAAAAATTTAACAGATTTTACACAACGACAGGTACTTGTTTTCTCAAGGCAATATATCCCAATAAGAAATTTTGCGTTTTATGTGAAACTGAAATTTTCAGATTATTTAGTCCTAACTATGTAAATTTATACCTGACTGAGTATCGTCCAAGGCGTGTAATAAACGATAATAGGTGGAGAATTTATTTGTGGGATTGAGGTAAGCCCTGCCAATCTGCACCCTTTTAAAAACTGTCACATGCAGGGAACCACCAACGGCGTTCCCTAATTGCCATCGAAGGAAACAACCATCGATATCGTCAACCTGGAGACGCTCTTCGTTGTGGGGTCTGTCATTGAAATTCTTGTCTTTTAATTTCCATGATGTCTTAACAGCATCCTAACAGATTCTCATGGCACCCCTAAGGTATGATCCTACAAGAAGAAGACATAAATATATTATTTAAATTAATTAATGGACTTGGCAATACATGATATCAATATTTGCAGGTCGACCTGATCATTACCAGGAAGCAAGAATCAAGGATCAGCTATATGTGATTATTGGGGATGACAAGTATTATGGGATTCTTAGATTGAACATGTAATTCTCGATGACTATAACTAGGAATGAATTAAGCACGTAGCCATACAGTTAGCAGGCTTTCGAAGCACAGTCGTAGATATTATCAGTAATGGCGCAATTATGATAATGGTGGGTAATTCTGCGCAAAATTCAGAGAGAACCGAGCGAACTGAGACTGCTAATGAAGGAAACAGTTAGATTCAAACGGCCTCCAATAATTATCCTGCCAGCCATCCATATTTTACTGTCCCGACAATGCGCGAAATTGTTCACACTTCCCCCTTGCCGCTACGGCTAATACGCTGTAATTCTTCAGGGTTTCATGGATTGCGTGATTTCGATTCGCCAGTTGCGATACCGCCCTGTCCTTTCAGCTTACGACACGATGGACCAATGACGATATACAGATAATCCGATTATTCAATCGATCGCAAATATTGAATAAATAGGGCAAAGGGCAAAATCAGTCACAACGAATAAATTTCAAGGAATTCAATTCGGTGGTAGAAACTAAATTATCTTGATTATAAGTTTCATATACAGGTAGGTTATATAAATAGTTTTAGGTCAGATATTTATAGTGTTATTCGTATTGTTATTGACTGTTGTAAAGTTGACTTTAAACAATGATCGTATTGTTTAATATGCCCTGGCTGCCTGATCATCGTCATGTATATTTAGATTATTGAGAGTACCTCCTGCTACTAGGTAACTTCAGCGTTCGATGTGTTGATATTAGCTGAGCTAATTTGATAGTTTAATCAATTTCCGTGAGCTGACGGGAGTTTAATAGTGATGTCATCATTTTCAACGGTGCACAATGGGGTTAATCTCGCTCGACGAGCTAATATTCGGAGAGTTAACGGAGTTTCAAATGCAGCCAGGGCCGTCATTCGCTTGGTATTTGTAATGCACACATTGAAAAGTACTATTGGAAATTCAAGAACATTAATCATTTAAAAGATCATTAATCGACCACAAAACTATATTTTACTCAAATAGAAATTGTAACTACACAGTATATTTTATTGTAACTTTCACCGTGCAAGCAAATAGAAAAAGATGAGTAAAGACAGTGAAAGAACAAATTATTTAACAAGTTTTATATTTTACAAAAAAAAAGTTGAGGTTAGGTGACAATCACTCTGTCTTTCTCTAAGTGTAATCTGCATCAGCCATGATAATCGTGCATGGCGTATATAGAATGTAAAAAGTCATTAAAGGAAAGCTGGAGAATCGCGCTCGCTTTTTGAAAATTAAAAGGTTCGCGACCCTGTTCGCAGTTTTCGTTCGAGCGGCCCTGCATACAGATTCCGAGCAGGCATATTAGGTGGAGGTACGCAGTTAGGCAATAACCGCTGTCAATAGAACCCAGCCTCCTCTCTTGGAGTGGTCCCCACTCGAAAATGCTACTCGCTAAATTAGGTAGGTTATATGGGCTTCGTTTCATTTGCGAGCAAACTTTAATAAACGTTCAAATTGCGTAAAAGAGCAAGGTTTTCAGCCGAACGAATCAGGGACGTTGATTTCACTGATCCGAATTATATTATGTTCTCGACCACAGTGGCCATCGTACATTTAAGCAGAGAGAAACTTTTAGTAAGGATGCTTGTCTTCGTTACTCTTCAAGATATTATATTCAATGGTTAACTAAGCCTAGTATATTACAGGCTACTTCTTTTTTTAAATTTTTTATTTAAATTTTAATTAAATTTAAATCAGTTTAAATTATATAGTCGCTTTTTCGATTATCGTTGTACTTCAGACGCCACAAACCACAGTGACGTACGTATAGCAAAAGTGATTATTCGAATGGAGTATTCTAACTGTACTGGCATGATTGTTGTAAAACTAATGAATTTTCTTAGAGCATTCTAATTTTACCAAGAGCAATTTCGTTTACATGCAACAGCTCGATGTACAATAACTACTGCAGGCTGAATTGCGAACAGTAATTGTGGTGTATAAGTAGCTTCCATGGTTTATTCGCGTCTCGAAAATAATTACAAAGGGAAGAAAATAAAATAATGTCCAACAGTGTGCTACGGTGCAGGATTGATGTTCGAATACTAAGTAGAAACAAATGAAGATAGTATTCGTGGAGTACGAAGAAAACTCTTCGATATTTTTAAGGTTTTTGATTTATATTATTATATATAACTTGAGTGTGGATTCGGACAGGAAATTTTGGTAGTTGATTAGTAGAGGTTATGCACGTGTTCGGTTTTGATTTTGAAATGCGATATAATTAAGATCGGTATAATGACCTAGTGACAGTTATTATGCATCACTCTTTTGTGAGAGTTTTCTATTGGAAGATTTTCAAATATATTCATACTATAGCATCGTTCGCTTTTGAACTTCAAAGAATATTCAAGTTGCCACATGAAAAAGAAAATGGTGAAGTGCGCATTTCGCGAAATTAAATCAGAACTGAAAATATTCAATCGTGACTCCCTCAGAATGGAAAGAAAGTGTCAAAGCTCTGTGCTTGCAGCATTATCTCCTTTTACTCTTTGTTCATGAAACGAGGAAGTATTGGCACTTTCACTTAAAGGAAAGGCCAATTCGTTAGGATTTTACAATGAACTATACTTTTGCCGCATGGCAAATAATAATGTAACTTCACAAATATCGAAGATATGCGATTATTGAGTTTTGCGTTTTTAAAGATCCTCCTAATAACGTCAGGCTTCATATAATTATACTTATTGGTTTTTCAAGAGTATCAGAGAATTAGATTTACGTAGAATTTACGACAGTAGTATTATTAAAAATTTACACTATATCTCGCAATGTGCGTACAAGATACAAATTCTTAAAAACTTGTATTTCAGTTTCAACAGATATCAAAAACATAAAAAATACACGCTGAATAATATGCTTTTTGAATGTTTAACATATCATAAGCCGTTACCAAGATATTAGGGGAAAAAATTCAAAATAATCACATAATTCTTTCAAGTCTGTCTTAAATATTTTTTCGTATTTTAGGAACGCGGCAATTGTCAAAACGCTTGCAGAACATCTCAAGATAATGAATAACTACTGGACTTAGAAGATATAGTGACAATTTAATTGAAATCGTATTAGGCGTCATCACGTGCTAACTTATAACGTAAGTAGTAACAAATAAATTAGCCTGTCGATAGGCAACCCCTTGTGCAGTGGCCTACCTTGTACTACCTGGTATATGTTGCTACTTGCATTTACTCAAAGTTAACACAAATATACTATCCAGATAGTACGCTAGACGCACTGCTGGTGGCGCCACTGCTTGACACACTTCCCTTGATGCATTGCAGGATTAGAATACCTGTTTCTGTAAATGGAGATGAATGTAGCCTTCATAGCTTTGTTGGACGAGTTACATGACTAAAACATCAGACTCCTGATTATCAAAAATTTGTATATTGCACATTTTACCAATCAAAAGTCTAGTTTTCCGAATTATCCAACTACGACAAAGCTATGAAGGCTCCCTTATATCTTATAGCGGAGATGAAAGCGGAGCTCTTTTCCCTCTAGAGTAACCAGTGCTGTCATCTGATGGCAATATCAGGATATACTGATGACTTTTGTACAACACGTTGATAACGTTACGTCAACGAGTTCACCATAGTCTTCCCAACATTCTGGCAAATATCAACAAAACAGTTACAGGTTGGGCTGAAAATAAATAAAATGCACTGAAGAATATTGACTGTTTACGTTTTGACATGGTGAGTTTATGGAGTTTAGTGACAACATTATTGAAGTAGCACGTCCAAGCGAAGCAAATTAAGGATAATGAGACTATTATAATGGTAGACGTGAAGTTGCAATTTGGGTGACACGACTTCTAAATATAGGATTTATTTTTAGGTTGAAGCGAGCTGTAGTTTGAATTGGGATTTTGATCCAGAGCTAGGCTACTAGGAGGTTCGTAAAACGCGATGTGCCAGTATACTTTACGACGTGTTGTCGTTCTTTCTATGGCAAGAGTTTTACAACTTCGACAGCCTTTGGCAAAGATTCGAGCAAAAGGATACGTGAGAACAGCTCTATAGTTTTATTGGGCTTGCGACAACTACAAGCAATACAGTTTGTTCTATATACTTAATAGTCATCTGGAGTATTGTTTGTTAGTTTTGATAATTGTTCACTAATATACAAATGAGTTATTGTTGATTAAGGTTCTATGTAATTTACTTGGAGTTTAATAACTGTGATTCTAGAATTGAAAAATGGCAATTGTTCAAATGGGAAAAAGCAGAGACAGACTTCAAGAACTTAGTATGAAACTAGAACAAAGTCACCTGGTGTATTTACAGACTGATGACAGCCCTTTGAAGTTACAACAACGTCATAAGTTAGAAGGTATAACGTTTCCAAGTAATAGTTAATTAATGTCTGGACAAGAAAATAGATCATGCATAAATCAAGAATCAATTAAACAATATAAATATATGTCGTGAACTCATATTTTACTATTAATATGTGACACAGGTTTCATTAAAGAATATTTATGCCTCGTTCCAAATGACAACAAATATATATTTCAAGAGACGGCAGATATACTGCACAGGTCTGCTGCTACCGTTCAAGATTTTAGTGGATACAGAGCATGTACTGCATGGAGTGCAATTTCACTATACGCAGCAAACCTTTTAGCACAGCCATGGCGGAAAGAATACAGAACACTAAGGGTTTGTGATTTTATTCATTTTAAATGTTTTTTTCTCCTAATTTTACTAATAACAGACAGTTCAATATACATAACATATAAACGTACATAAAAGCATTATGTCTATTTAAAGATCATAGAACTAAGTAATATTATAATATTTGTCATATTTCATAGATGTCTTTATTTTCAGACATATAGTGGATACTATAAACATGAGGTCGAAGCAAACTTAATAGGTGCAGAGTTGATGTTTGAGTTAATGGGGTACAAGCATACAGGATTAGGTGTATTAGCTTTAGAAGGACCGATAGATCCTGACAAAGTATCCAGCGTCAGTAGAGATGCTATAGTGGCCTTTGTTGAATGCCAGGTAAATACAACATAGAAAACTAAAACATCATTAACAGCGAAGTATTAAATATAAACTTTTATATACTTCTTTGTTTTTAATAGATTTTTAAAGAAATCTGGGAAAGCGTATCACAAAATTTCACAGTTTCGTGGCTTGAAATTCTGGAATTTCGAGAAAACCACGTAGGTACCCCAGAGCAAGCGATACGTGCTTTAAATTATCGCTTTCTGGAAAAGATACATCAATCTCGAGTCAAGGTCGATAGTTACAGGGATTATCGACATCTTCCACAAAGTGCTATCGTGGACGTAGTACCAACGATATCATATCACGTGCCATCAAACAATTACAGCAGTACTGGTTTATCAACGTGTCACGATGAATATCGATATTTGGATGAAGGAAATGTGTCACCCGGTAGCTATCGATATTTCAATCCCGTCGATTCTGTTAGCCTTGGGAATCGATGCAATACTTATAGCTATTTACCAGCAGATAATAAATACTTTAGTGGCATTCATGGGACTTCTTATTGTACTGCAATGTCAACGTACGGAACTAAAGTTCCAACTGGACGTTTAATCGAATTAGACACTCCAGTTCCAATACCAGTGGCTAATTATGACAAATCATTGAACCGTCAAACATCCTATAAAAATTCAGACTTCGACGAGGTCGATTCATTCCGCCGAAAATCCAACGATGCGGATCGTTACAATTATACCAAAGTGGAGAAGAAACATGGAAAAAGTGGCCTTGCACCTATTGAAAAGGATACCATTGACAGTTGGGATTTCGTGTACAGAAATTTAGAGAGTTTAGGCTATTCGAAGGATCTAGGCGACCGCGAAGATATATTACGTAAAAAGGAAATGGACTGTCGAACATCAAGACAGAAGTCATCTAAATCACCTGCTAATAATGACTTGGACGACCGGAATTTATCTCAGCGACTTTACGAGAAAAAACGAAGTCGTAATGCATTCAATGAACTTGACAGAACCAATGGACGATCTGTTACAAATCAGGAATCATTAGTTCACAAGAAAAAGTCTTCCCCCGATCTCTCTAATCTGGGAGCACTTGGCTCTACTGATATAAAGATAGAAGATCAATACATTCACAATAAATCCAAGAAGTACAGCCAAACATTGCCTAATCAACGAGCTAACGATCGGTATCGAACTTCCGAACAACAAATTGCCAAATTGGCAGATTCACTTAGAAGCCTAGGAGTTCCACCTAGAGAAAAGCACCCGGAAGTGGAAAATCGATGGAACTGTTCCACCTGCACATTCTTGAATGCTCCTAATAGGGAAATTTGTGAAATGTGTGGAAAATCTAAACGCAGAGGTAACGAGGATAAACCATTAGCGAGCGGTGGAAAGGAGTGTCCACAGTGTACTCTTGTTAATGAAAAAAACGTCTCTACTTGTGATGCTTGTGGCGCGAGCCTTAAAGATTCTCCGACCTATATATAGACATAGAGAGTGGCCTTGAAGTTACGAGATTCGTGTAAAAATACCTTGACGAAATTATTCGTTGATTATTATATTACGTATAAGAGTCAATTTCACATCGTAATTGCAGAAGTAATTAGCGGCTTTGATAAACTGTGAATTCAAATCTCAATGCATACAAATTATTACTGTTTGTCCACTTACGACTTCCATGAAATTCACGATTTTTAGGTGAAGTGAAGATGTTTAACAAAAACAAGCATTTTACAACAATAGGGCAACTGTAATTATTTTCTTCTTTTCACAAAATAACGTGACCATTTTGTGAATTATTTTTTCGATGAAAAATTCGTCGAGAGTATATGGTATATTTTGCGATGATACGTATGATATTAGTATTCTGTATTGTTGTGCGGATATTATCAAAGACGGTTAAATATGAAATAGAAATTTACCTTCGGCCTTTATCAGAATTTAAAGCTAGGTTGCGTAATGATGATTATTACGCGGAATCGAGAATAATCACATAAAGTCTTACATTACATAATATTATTGAATGTAATGATAACTCGAGATCGCTATCAATAATATTAATTATCTGTATAAATTTTTCTTCTTTAATTAATATCTCATATCGTTTATCAATGGTTGACGGTACTTTTATTAGTAGATTATCAGTTTATTTGCTTTGCATTCATGTTGATCAATGTATCAATAGATCTTATCAACATTAAAATTATATGATCGAAAACGGTTCTAAATCGTATATTTTTATGGAAGACGGTTATCTTTTAAAAACGTCTTGTATAATTGTGGAAATCAAATTTCTTTATTTTTGTACAGTATTGTTTCGCAATAATCATTCTTCATTATCAATAATAAGAGATTGCGCAGCTTATCATGAATAAACTGAATGCTCTGAATATTTAAGAAGAAATATAAAGAGAAAAAAGAAGTATTGATAATATTTAAGTAGTGAAAAGAACAGTTTTTAATGTTATTGCTTATCGTCCATTAACCTCAACATTCTTATAACAGATTTTCTAAGATAAAAACGAAATTGCGGACAACTATGAAAATCGTATACAGAAGATTCTTTGAAAATAGTTCTTCGAAAAAAAAATATACATGCTTAATTGGGTGTATTGGGAGAAAAACGAATTTAGTAAGCCAACCTAACAGTGATTCTGATATTTTAAATAAATAAGCATCGTCGGCGACCGAGGGAGTCCGATCACATCCAGATCACTGTCATGTTGCGCTTGTGAATGGTTAGGCTTGGTCAGTTAAGATTTTTCTAAGTTACGTGAGGTTAGATCAGGTTAGGTCTCAACCTAATCTTACCTCACAACTCGAATTATAATAACTTCAATTAACACGCTGTATACTTATGTAATTTGCGGATCGATTATTGATTTTTCACCTTGTGCCAGATCTTAATTGACTAGAGACGGAAGCACAATCGATTAGTGATATCTACAGAAAGTATAAAAGTTGCACAAAAGAAGTAGCTGTGCAAAATCTAGAATTATCGAAACATGAAAGAGCTACAAAAAATCTAATCGGTTTTTTTTTTCAGTTGGATTGTTGTTCGGAAACTTGATGCTGTTTGTATTATAATTACATAAGGAAAAGGATTATGTATATAATTAGAATATGACTGATACAGATAAGTCATTCAAAAAATACTAATCACCCAGTAGGACACGATATCGATGCTCTAAAGCCGAAATTTCCTCTTTACTAGGAACCTTTGTTGCTGCTGCTATCCAAAGTCTACCTCTATGTGCTGAGTACCACGAAAGACCTTCATGACTAATAAAAAAGAATAAAACAATTAATAAAATATATTTTTTAAATATTGTCATAAAACTTACACTTTGTGACGTACTGGACCACGAAAATGGCCCAGGGTCTCGCAAGAACAGCTATCACAAAAACTACGGGGTGAGGGGAACGCAAAAGAAAGGGGGACACGTGGTAAAATAGAAAGAATATAATTAACAATGAAAATGCCAATACAAAGAAGAAGAAAACAGAAACGAGAAGATGCTCAAACAGAAATTAGAATGTGCGCAATGTAATAACGCAAAAGACGCAACTCTAGACTAACACGCAATCAAAACAATACACGCGGGTGCTCGCTCGGGAGCACGCGGTGTCAGACGGGACCGTTGATAGTATCTATAGAAAGATTGGATAAACTAAAAATTTTATTTATTTAATTATAAATTCGTAATCTGTTACCGGAATTATCCAAGCGTTAATGAAATATTTCCTTTTATATTGTTAAACGTAATAGTTGTTATCACGAAGTTGAAAGCTAATGCTAAGGAATAAGTAACAAGAGAAAAAAAAGGCATCATGTTTAACTGTAGCAATATAAGAGGATCTTTATTTGCCATGAAATCATCATACGAATCCTTTTTTTCTACTATTAGATCTAACATGAGCGAATTCATGAATTTTTTTACTTCTTTGTATCAGAAGTAATGACTGAAAAGTGTTAATAATAAATTGATACTTGAAACGGTGGATGGGTCAGAAAAGCATTGACGCAAATTCATCAATTTATTTTATATTCTGCAAATTTATTTTATTTTAGTGGCTGCAATCTTCAAGTTAATTAATTAGTGTGACCAACCTAGGTATTACGTTTTACTCGATGAAACAGTCAGCCTTGAAGTATGACGCTCAGTTACTATATCTCGTGTATTTTTCGATTAAATGACTGCAAAATACCAAGAGTCCGCGTAAATAGGGTTTCTCTCTGTTTTTCCATTAATGAAAGACAGCACCATCTCACTCGGGTAAGCCGGTGGCTGGATCCTCCGTGCACGGCCGATTCCCCGTCACATTACAATTTCAAAAATTACAGCCCAGCTACCTTATGATGTCAGTCAGCCTGATCCAGCCGACGATAAGATCCAAAAATAAAAATAAATGTCATTTCTCATTGTTGAAAAATATGGTAGTTACTGGTTCTCATATAAACACCCGATCTTTTACAGACCTCAGAGAATTTGCAAAGAATGCAATAGTGAGCCAAGTATATGGTAAAATGCAAATCCTTTTTATTTATAAAATTAATGATGTACTATTAAATAGTTTATTTAATTGTCTTCTTGTTACAAAGCAGAGGAAGTAATGGGTACAAAATTACTTCGCGGTGGCGTAATATTCCTACAGTCGATGCCACGTACTGTTAGTGATAAAATTGGCGAGGGAAATCGGGGGACCGGGGAGCAAGGAATTGGCAAGGGGACAAGAGGGACAGGAGGGAGAAAACAACAAATGGGCGCTAGCTACTTGTTCGGAGTAGCACCGTCGAGTGACTTCAGAAGGTCCTCGAATATTTACTCAAACTCGAAATGGCACGCCTAGCTGGGGAGGTGGTGAGGGGGACTCAGGGGGGGTGGTTCCCGAACGCAAAATGGCTACTTTATAAATTACCTCGGGTTTTACAATATTCAAAACGGCGGGTAATGAAAAAGGGGCACCGGGGTTTCTCAAAAATGGCGCAAACTACTCTAGAACGCACGCAAGATACCCCTGGCCGCACGCGGTTGGCGGAAGGCCAGGCTAACACTCAAAAAGATCTTCTAACGCAAAAGGGCCGGTCCACGTGTGGACGGCTCGTAATATCCAAAAAGGGAGATCTACTATTTCTCAAACTCTAAAGCAAAAACGGGGGTAGGGAAGTGAGAAAAGGAAAACTCAAGCACGCAAAATAGTGCTCACGCAATAGTTCGCAACACTGTAATCCAATATTCACAATTATTCCACTCTCACTCAACTCGCACTCAACGCTACGGAACCCTGGCTCGAAGTGAAGAAATTTCCGGTCGTCCGGGCCCTCGTGGGCCTCCAGGGCCTCGCTGATTGGCTGGGGCTTCTCAACTGTGAGGGCTACGCGCTTCTGCATTGGTTGGCTGTTCCGGCATGGCAGGGCATTGGTCCGTTTCAAATCAGCTGTGTTGCCGGGCCTTCTAGGGCCTCGTGTCGGCGGAACGGCGCTGGCTTTGCCGTTACGCGTGGTGGCTGCGCGTGTCGATCAATATGGCGGCCTCCAGGCCTGTCAAAATCCTCCCGGGCACGTCCGCGGTCTCGGTGGGAGAGCGCTCCGCCGCTGTCACACGGGACTTTTTCCTGCCCGTGTAACGGGACTGCACCGGGGCTGCATATATTGGTGGCGATGGTGGTGGCTGGGCATCCATCCCACGGGCGACTCGATCAGCTGTCTTTCCTGCCCATGCCATCCCTGCCTTCCGCTGCCTCGGCGACGTAGCCACTCTCGCGGTCCATCCAGGGATGCTGTGTCCTCGTGGCGGGTCCACGACGGTGTCCTCGATGCGGGTGTTTGTTGTTGGTCCTCGAAGATGGTCCTCCAGCCAGTGCCCTACGGTGAAGGGCGACAGGGCGGGAAGGGTGTAGGGAGGGGGTCTTAACTCTAAATACAATAGACCTAAAACACTAGATAAACGCAATAAACGATAATTCCCAATACAGTACGCAATACTCGTGCTCGGGGCCAGTGGTGCCCTCGAGCCAGGTGACGGGGAGGAGTTCATTGTAACATTTTTGTTACAACTTTTATCCCAGCAACCAATAACGATGCGTATGGCTGCAGGAAGCTGCAGTGGTTGGTAAACCTCATGAAATTGATGACGAACATCCCTTAGCCTTTGTGACGAAAGTCCCTGGGCGAGAGGTTCGTATGCATTCGTTAGGTTTTACTTTATTTTGCCTATGACCCATTTACTCCTTTTATCCCAGCAACCAATAACGATGCGTATGGCTGATGCATACTTAAACAGAGTCCTTCGTCAACCATTTCTTCGTCAACTCATTGTTGAAAAATATGGTAGTTACAGGTTCTCATGTAAACACCCGATCTCTTACAGTCCTCAGAGAATTTGCAAAGAATGCAATAGTGAGCAAGTATATGGTAAAATGCAAATCCTTTTTATTTGTAAAATTAATGATGTACTATTAAATAATTTATTTAATTATCTTTTTGTTACAAAGCAGAGGAAGTAATGGGTACAAAATTACTTCGTGGTGGCGTAATATTCCTACAGTCGATGCCACGTACTGCTACTGATAAAATAAACAGACCAAAACTGAAAGAAATGTTGAAGGGTATTGTATAGCGTCCCTGTTGTTGCGAATGAAAGTTACATTGATCAATGCTACCTAAGCAAGCAAATACAAGTGGGTCACAGAGAAGTCGCCTTTTTTCACTGCAATGATCCAAAAACCTTTACCTGGCCCTTCAGGGTAAACCGAATGTCGCCTCAAGAAAGCTTACATAGAAGTAGCATAGAGGTTCCAAGTGAAAATCCCGCTGCCACTTCTCATGACCGCCGTTAAAACGATATCCTAACGATGTCATATTGCATCGTGTTTAAGAACATCTAAATAAGACGTTTGCCCGATATCTTATGCATAGCATTTTTCAACCAGACGTCAGTAGCATCAGCCATAAGGAAAGGAAGGAAGGAAGGAACATCAGTAGGATATTGCAGACGTAATTCACATGTCGTTCTTTTTCTTCTTCTTATTAATTAAGAAAGTACAAAATGTACAATACAGAGGGCTAAGCACTGTTTCAATACTTAAGTTTTTTTTTTCCCCACTTCTCCAATATTCTACAGCTTTTTGTTTGTAATCAAAATTGATGTCTTCAGTACCTTTCGTACACTGATTTGTTGGTGCAACGTCAGGATCAGGAAAATGATGTTGAACTTCATCCTCAATTATTTCAGCATCACAATCCTTATATTCTTCCTCTATACATTAAAATATGTAATGAAACAAAAACAGAAATGCAACAATATATAAATACTACGGTTTCTTGACATTTTGAAATCGCACCACCAGGTATGTGTCCTTCTGACGCTGCCGAGGAAACTGCTAATGACATATTCTGGAAATGCCCTCGCTTCAACAAGGAAAAAATGAATCTCATCTCCCAACTCAGAATTCGAAATGGTATCCCTCCGTACAACGTCGATAGTTTGTTAAGAACCATGGACTCCAAATCTGTTAAAGCTATAGTTAAGTTTATTACTGAAACTGATATTTCTATTTAGTTTAGATAAGATTTTTCAAATATTTTTTCAATTTTTCATTGTTCCTGCATTTATTCATTTATTCATTGGTTATTTAATTCAGTAATCTTTTTCACTTTAATTTTTTTACTTTTCCGTCTTACCGTTTTATCTTTTAAACCTCTTAATTACCGTGTAGAATTCGTATTAAGTTTGCGAAGTGCCAGATTCATGGATTTTGACGCACAGTGTGTGCACCAATCCATTTTGCGCAGTGAGGGTAGCTCGTTGCTTATGACAAACACAACGGTATCGTAACAGTACAGTTGTAATCTACATCGCACACTGACAAGTTAAAAAACAGGCATGAGAAATGAAATTTGATAGGTTAAATATAAGAAATAGTATACGACGCGCATGCACTCGTGCAAACGTATAAATTACACTATTATTACAATTTTATCATAAGGTACTATTTGTTTTCCTCCACAATGCAGGGAACTTCAAACGTTTTCTTTCCCTGGGAACACCGAAAGTAATCTTCGTAAAGGAAGAATCAGCAAACGTGTTGCTCGAAGCCGTCAAAGAATTGGAATCTGATGCAAAAGTCGTTGTATTCGGAAAATATCCAGGTGTTGCGTCCTTTTCGGATATTTTAGCGGAAGCGAGTGAACAGGAAGTGGCGAATTTCAAATGTGATGAGATTCCTGACATGAAGCATATCGCCATAATTGTACCGACGTCAGGAACGACTGGGATGCCTAAGGGTGTCGCACTGTCTCATGAATATTTCATTCGAGCAATAATACCGTACGATAATTCAAGCTTCAACGAAAGATCGGCTATTATATTTTCGAAGTTGATTTGGGTTACAGCTAATTTAATCATATTGGTGAGTGCTGTTACACGGTGGCCGAGAATTATTTGTGCAACATTCACGACTGAGGTTCTCTTCGACGTAATTAATAAATATAAGGTACGCACATACACCTAAAAATTCGAATATCTTTTGTAGAACGTCAATAGGCTCGGTAGAAAAAAAAATATAGAAAAACAAACTTTAACTGGTTTTCTAAACGGAAAATAATCGCAGTGAAACTTTTAAAGGGAAAAGAGTCTCGTACGGAATCGGTGTAAATGGAAACGCATTATAAAGGGTGTTTTGCGTGACTGAACCGCAGCTGCGTTTATTAAATTTCAGCCAATCGCATTAACTGTTATTTATGACCGGCCAAAATCGTTCGATGCATGTCAATCACATTTAACCGATCATACCTATGTTCGGGTTATCTTAAATCCACAACTTTATTCGTCCGAGTCCCTAAACACACGACTGACCGTTTGTCCGTATCATAGTCCGACTAATTCCGCCACTTGGGTGAATGGAATGTGTTCCTTAGTGCCTCAGCGTTATGTTTTGTTCTATAAAACAATCAGCCGTGAAGTATGACGCCCAGTTACTACGTCTCGTATATTTTTCCATTACATAACTGCAAAACACCAAAAATCCGCGTAAATTGAGTTTCTCCCTCTTTTTTCATTACTGAAAGACAGCGCCATCTCGCGCGGGCAACCCGATTCCCTGTCACATTACAATTTTCAAACTTACAGCCCAGCTTCCTTGTGATGTCAGTCAGCATGATGCAGCAGACAGTAAGATCTGGGAATAATGATAAATGTGATTTCTCATCGTTGAAAAATATTACGGTTACTGGTGCTCGTGTAAACAGCGAATCACTTACAATCCTTAGAGAACTTGCGAAGAATGCAACAGTGAACCAAGCATATGGTACGATGCAAGTAGTTTATATTTATAAAATTAAAGATGCACTATTACAGTTTATTTGATTACCTTTTTGTTACATAGGTTTAACGGAAGTAGGATTCGCAACGGTACAACAATCGTATGGTAAACCAGAATCTGTGGGGACGCCAGCTGATAACGTTCAAATCAAAATAGTGGATATTCAATCTGGAGAAATTCTGGGACCTAGTCAAAAAGGTGAAATATGTATAAACTCACCTGCACGACTGGTTGAATATTATAAAAATCCAGAGGCCACAAAAGCAGCCATTGACGATGAAGGTATTGATATTAATTAGGATCTGAATTTCATGGAAGTTCATTATTCAAATTTTATATAAAACTGAGAGCCTTATTTTTATCTACGTCAGGTTTTTTTCGTACCGGCGATATTGGCTACTACGACGATGACGGAAATTTCTTCCTTGTCGATAGGTTGAAGGCACTCATAAAGTTCAGAAACTACCATGTTTCAGCTTCAGAAATTGAAACGATTTTACAATCACATCCGTCTGTACAGGAAGCTGCAGTGGTTGGTAAACCTCATGAAATTGATGACGAACATCCCTTAGCCTTTGTGACGAAAGTCCCTGGGCGGGAGGTCCGTATGCATTCGATAGGTTTTACTTTACTTTGCCTATGACTCATTTACTCAATTCGGCAAATGTTATTAGGTTACTGAACAAGAACTGATCGACCTAGTCGCAAAGGAAGTAATGGATACGAACAGACTTCGCGGTGGTGTAATATTCTTAGAGTCGATGCCACGTACTGCTACTGATAAAATAAACA